CTAGTGCAATGCTAAAAGGCTTCATGCTAGAATGGCTTTTTGCACACTTCTATCTAGTAAACCTAGGTATAGGTCAAAACAGTATCTGAGAAAGTCGCACCTCTTCTCTTACCGTTTGCTCTTCTGCCAAGCTGCTTAGAGAGCAATGAATGAACTCGGGCATAAGAGCTATGAACCAAGTCATGCCATTATAATGTTGTAAGCCCTTCCCATATACACGTATGCCTCCGTAAACACCAACACAAAGGCTGTTCCCGAAACTCACATATTGTGTAACGTGAAGCAAGAATGCCATATCATGCGTTTTCTCCTCCAAAGTAAATGAGCTGATCTTAAGCTTCAGGCAGCTATCACACTCCACACACACGGAATCTACTATCTCATCTGCATCGGAGGTGACGGTGCACTCACAGGAATCGGAATCTTCAGAGACGAATGGGAGTCATTGACTGCAGAACTTTTGAAAGAAGGTAGAGTGGAATAAATTTCACATGGACAGCTGTAACATCCACAAATGTGCACCTCTAAGTGACATTATCATCAAAGTTTTAGGTAAAATAACAAAAGATCAAGCTGAAAAAGGAAAAAGTTTGTATGTTGTTGGCATAGCAGGGTTAGTCCCAAAATACGAATAAAACAAAGAAAACACATATGAGCCTTTCGTATCTTCTCGCTTAATGCTATCAACGAAACTAAATGTGAATCAATGATTCTCTCGCTAATCCCGTTTCAGAACGATAGACAATGACTTTATCGGAACTGATCGCACAATTGGTTTCGATTCCGCTATGGCGCGAGTGGTTGAATGTGTGGACGGTCTAACTTCTACTGCGGACAGTTTGCAGCGTACTTTCGTTGTTGAGGTGCTTACATTTACCATTACACTAGCAAGTAAAAATTAGGACAACAGACAGCCTCCGCTTGGAAAATTTTGCCTTTCCAGGTTATGAGCAAAGAGTGCGGCGCCATTGCGATCACTTCCGCCATAGCCCTGGAAGCAGATTTCGTCTTCATCCCTGAAGTGCCGCCAACGCAAGATTGGCCTGAAGTGTTGTGCGGTCATCTTCGGAAGAAGCGTAAGGTGGTGACATTCCATTTCACTAACAAATGGTCATAAATGGGAAGCAACAGGTCGGCAGTAGACTTCACATCATTTTGATCTCGGAAGGAGCAGTAGATTCGGATAAGAAGCCGATAACTGTTGACGATATAAAGAAGATTGTGGAGGAAAAATTGAAGGTTAGAATTTGTAACATTTTTCAGCACAATATCCTGCAAGTTCCGAGCCATGGAAGGCGAGACTGGCAACGCGCCAAATTTTAAAAAGTG